TTTTTTTTTTTTTTTTTAAGAACCATCTTATTTTTTGAAAAAAATTGTACTTGTGAATAATAAATTATACGTAGGTAGATTGTTTGGAACAATAACCAAATTATAATTGTATTCTCTTTTAATTGAAATGAAAACTGTTAAAATAAACTATGTATCATATACAGTATAAATAAATAAACGTATTTTATATATAATAATACAAAATAAATAAAAAACATTTATAATAAATAAGAAAAACAATCAATTATTTTATATTATAATTATAAGTATTTATATAAGTGGCTTGTTTCATTACAATGGTATTCGTATCTTATTTTATGCGGTATTTAGACTGCTTTTCTTTCACAAGACACAAACGTCGTTCCATTTTTCTCACATTCAATAAATAATGAAGAATGTTCATTGACTGTGTCCTAAAAAGAAAGCAGCCTTAAACTGTCATCTATTTTTAAATAATACTAAAATTACTTCTAGAATGCCGAAATTATCGGAGGCATTAGATAACGAGTCGTCACCTAAAAATCGAGCTGCAAAATTGAAAGACAGTCAAGAGCAGCGAAGAAAACAGCAAGTATTTTCCCGAATGCAGGTTTTATTGTTCCGGCATAAGGAACTTCTTAAAAAAGATATTCTTAAAAAGAGAGCGTTACTCGAGAAAGAACTTCAAATTGATATACAGGTAATTACAATTATTAATAAGTAAGTAATAAGTCATATTTTAAGTTATAACTTTATGTAATGTAATAATTTAAATGAGATCTATGTTACCCGTAGTTCCATATATTATCGAATTAAACTTCAAATCATATTTTGCCTTATATGAACTGCAATATTTATTTTTGCAGTTTGTAAATCATACATTTATTTAGTTTATGATTTGAATTGTAGCATTGCTCAATAAAATTTGTAACTTTATTTTACAACATCTTTTAGCGAAACATTATTTGTGAGATGTTGCAAATTAAATAATATGATATCGAAATGTTTGCACTTTCTGAGCTGGTACACATAGTGCAATCAGTTGAAGTGAGACAAACATACATTTGTTCCACTTCAACTTATTGCACTGGTACAGAGTGCAGCAATAAAAAACAGACCTATGGATTCGCTGAATAATATGAACACTAAATGGTTTAATTAAAAATAAAAAAAGATACTTTATTACTAAATTATTTTGAATCAATAGCCCCATCTTAAATATTTAAAAAAATACAAAAGAAATAATATTTTATAATAATATATATAAATATGTGTACATAGAAACACAATTTTATTTAAATTGGAAGTAAGATCGTGAAGAATTAATCTTCGAGGATCAGAATATTGTCAAGATTTCCATAAAACGCGAATAAAAATTTTTGCAGAAGGACTTGTCGGCGGAGCTCGCTACAAGAACGAAGGCAGAGAGACACAAGCAGGATGAAGTAAAGGTTGGGAGTGCGAAGCGAAAAGCAAATGCTCAAGTGGCTCAACAGGTTAGCCCGTCCAATCGGAGTAGTAGTAGCAGACCGAAAAAGCATAAGAACCAAGGTAATAGTACGACGCCTCCTGGTGGTTCGACAACCACGACTCGCATCAAGAAAGAAAAATTGTACTGTTTATGCAGAACTCCTTATGATGAGACCAAGTAAGAGCATAAAATCATATAAGCCTGATTGAATTTTTATCAATGTATATTTGTTCTTCGTTGTGTTTTAAAATTATATAATTTTATTTTAATCACAAAGTATAATGTTACGAAATCTTAATTTCATTTATGCGATATCCCTGATCTGAATCTCACGGTCAACACTTGTGAAGTAGAGAATCATAGTATCAATAAAATATCTTTTTAGTTAATTCCGTTATTATATTCAAATTTAAAAAGAGATTTAAGATTTTAATATCAATCATTAAATATATTATATATAAAATTATACAAATAATTTCTCTTTCTTTAAAGATTTTACGTGGGATGTGATTTATGTAATAATTGGTTCCACGGTGACTGCGTGGGTATAACGGAAGAGATGAGCAAGTCTTTGTCAGAATTTGTTTGTACAGAATGCAGACATGCGAGAGATACACAAGAATTGTATTGCCTGTGTAAACAGCCTTACGACGAATCTCAGTAAGTGCACACATCACATTACGTTACTAAAAAATTATGTTAATAATAGAAATATCTAGTAAAAAGAAAGAAAGAGAAAATTAACTATGATACTCGACCTTTATGAAATCACGTGTAATCCCAATAGATAACAATGATAATATAATTTATTTAATTAGAATAATATATTTAAAAAAAATTGACGTTTTCTTTATTTTATATAATTAGAGCAATTTATTATAT